AATAAAAGCGAGAGGGCAGCGGTGGTCGAGCAACCTGAAACCATACTTACTACTGATTAAAAACAGTTGTACTAATGAGAAACAGAGAAAAGTAATGACAGGGAAACAGTTCTCTCTCTTCTGTCAGTCTGATGTACATTATAAAACAGTGTGGTACAACTAACCGTTGTTTTCAGCTTGTTATATAAGAACAAGGTCCTCTCCCTCTCGTCCTTTAACCTCTTTGTGTTCGCCTTCTCGTTCCGGTTCTCACAACTATCATGGTGTGCTTTCAACTTCTGGAGGCGATCCAAGTGACGACTTTGAGCCTGCAAAACACAATTATTTGTTGAAAATGTTCAACATCGTGCTGTTAATCCCTGAATTGTTTAAAGATCCATGTTTTGGCATTTCTGATTCATTGGAGAAGACAGTGTAGAGACAGAAACACAGAGCAGAGAGAGTGAATGACATGCAGCAAAGGGCCGCTGTGACAAGGACGCAGCCTTATCGGACATGTACACACTCCACCAGGTGAGCCACTGAACAACTTTAGTAAACTAAAGACTGGGACGCTATCACATGCTGTATACTGTCAAACATTATTCTGTTGATTTCTGGCCGTGCATGTAAAGACTGTCGACTTAAAGAACCCAAAGAACATGATGAATCCTACCTTTCTTTTCTGTTCAGAGCCAAAGCTCTCTGTCCCACCAGCAACTGCAAATAAATGACACAAGATGTAAATGTTAATGTGGTTCAAGATGAACTAACAATGCCAACTTTAGGCTCTTCAATAGTTCTTCATTTAGGTTTGGTTTCCTCCTGTAATAGTTCTGGGCCTAAACCCAGAAACAAACCAAAGCAATACTCCCTGAAGTATTAACAATAAGGACGAGAATAGTGTCACTGTTTTAGCAAAACTTTAGTTACACCAGATTCAACATGACATGAGACCTTAATGTGACCTTAAAGTGACCTTAAGGTAACCTTAAAGTGACCTTAAAGTGACCTTAAGGTGACCTTAAAGTGACCTTAAAGTTAAAGTGCATACAACCACAAGTATTTTAGAGAGGACAACATGTCAGTATTTCCACTGGACTTGTTTATCTCCTGAGCTCTGGGCAGTTTTACATCACCAACAATGAATGCATGTAAAAAAGTATATAGGGTATTAAACAGGTTTTTAACCTTTATATTAGACATGCAAATTACTCTTGATTTCACATGTAAATGTGATCATTTAGACATATTCATATTTAATGCCACAGTACAGACTAACTAATGTTTATTTTCTGCCATATGTTTAAAATATTGAATAAATCAAAAAGTAAGGGTTTATGAAATGTACATTTTCACAAAAGCAGCACTACAATGACGTCCTTTAAGGGGCTGTATGTACTGTTACAATGAAATCACTGATCAGTCACTTTGTACTGCAGAAATAAACAGCCTGTGTTCTCTGTTGCTTGGAACAGCCACAATTCTGCTTCTTATGTGAAGGTACTGGGTCTGGTTGTAGCCTCCTGCCGACTCCATCACTACAGCAACAACACCACCGCTAACTAAATGCAGTCACTAATCAGGATCCAGCTCAACATTGTGATGTCTGTCAGCCAGCAGCGATGGCAGCGTCTAGCAGCCAACCCTGAGGGAATTCTATCAGCTGACTACAGCTTCTCCAGCGTCTCAGTCGCTGTAACTTCCACATAATATACAAGACTTCAACATAACGGTGCAGGACAACAACACAGTGGAAGAACCATTCACTACACAGTGTTACTTATTGCAGTCTGACAATCTCATTTCTAATGTTCAGTGTAGCTCACTAACCCTTTTAGTTATCCTCTGATCCATTTAGCTGTGCTAACACTGCTGAGCCTCCGTTATAAGACACACAAATAAGATCAGTTAGTGGAAACCGTGAGCAGAGCTAACGCCGATGCAGCACGTCGGCTTAATGCTGTCAGTAACGTTACGACCATGGATTACTTTCTTCTTACTGTGACGGTGCAGTGGAGTTCTATAGATGTCTTAGCCCCCCCAGGCAGCACTTATCATTATTAAGGAAGAACATACTGATAGGACATTCAGATGGGTGATATTAAACAACCGCCCTCAGGGCTGCTAGTCCCGTCTGAATGAAGCTGAAGAGATGCAGGCTTTTAGTTTGGTGGCTGTGTTACCTAATGATTACGAGCATTCATGAACCGGGGCTGGAGGAGAGACATTAGAGATAAAGGAGACACGAGGAGCTACACTGGAGAGCTCCTTTTCTCCTTTGGTTGTGCACTTCCTCTAGCTCATTTCAGCTTAAAGACTTCTTTTCAGTAGAATATTCTACACTCTACAAACCACATTAGACTATGCTGTGGTCACAGCTCCACTTTCTCACCTGTGGGTTCAGAGCTGCCACCAGTGGATCTCAACGTGGGACCATCCTCCTGTAAGCACAGTGACAGTCAAACTTCAAGCTCTAGCAGATAATCACATGACACTGGTATATATATATATATTAATATATATATTTGGCATTATACTGATGTAACACTGCGACATGAATGGAGACATTATGTAGATCTGGTCTGGATTAGTGGTTAGCAGAATGTTTGACTCAAACTAAAAGCCATTTTCTGGCCCTAAAGGCTGCACTACAGAATGTATTAGACTATCCTCATTAGCACATTCTCCACAATAAAAAGGATCATTTCTCTAGATTCTCTGTGTGGGAATAACTAGAATAACAATAAAAGCACCAATCGTCATCCCCAACATACAATCCCAGTAAGAGCTATTGATTTAAAACAAGTGTAGGATTTTAGCAACAGAGTAATGTAGGAAATATGATATGGCAGCTAATCAAAATGATGTGAATTACAATATGTGCTTACAGAAGAAAATACGACATTCTGTGTGGAAACGTACGAAGAAAAGAAAATATAAACTATAGTGCTGTGTGAATGAAAGCTGCAGTGTGTCAATGATAATTCTGTAGTTCATTATAGCTGCAGTCCGGTGGACCTGTAGACTTTAGTGGATTTAGTGGAGCTTTATTATGACTTTAGTAGACTTTTATAGACTATTATATTAGACTTTTAGTGGACATTATAGTTAGACTTTAGGTAGACTTTATGTAGACTTTAGTAAGAACTTTAGTTGGATTTATTAGACTTATTAGGGACTTTTATAACTTTAGTGGACTTTATTAGACTATTGATTATGGACCTTTTAGTAGACTAGTGATTTAGTTTGGACTTTAGTAGACTTTAGTGGACTTTATTAGACTTTATTGTAGAGACTTTATTAGCTTTAGTAGAACTTTAAGTGGACTTTAGTGATTTATGGACCTTTATTAGACTTTAGTAGGACTTTAGTGACTTTATTAGACTATGTATTAGACTTTATTTAGTAGACTTTATTAGACTTTAGTGGACTTTAGTGGACTTTATTAGCACTTTAGTAGACTTTTTAGTGGACTTAGTAGACTTTAGGTGGGACTTTATTAGATTTAGTAAGACTTTAGTAGGACTTTATATAGACCTTTAGTGGGACTTTAGTGGCTTTAATAGACTCTTATTAGGACTTTAGTGGACTTTAGTGGACTTTAATAGACTTTTATTAGACTTTAGGGACTTTAATAGACTTTATTAGCTTTAGTGGACTTTAGTAGACTTTAGTAGACTTTATTAGTACTTTAGTGGACTTTATTAGACTTTATTGAGACTATTAGTGGGACTTTAGTTGACTTTAAATAGACTTTATTTAGACTTTAGTGGATTTAGTAGACTTTATTGAGACTTTACTAGATTTAGTAGGACTTTAGTGGACTTTAATAGACTTTATTAGACTTTAGTGGACTTTAGTGGACTTTAATAGACTGTTATTAGACTTTTAGGTGGACTTTAGTAGACTTTATAGGACTTTTAGTGACTTTATTTAGACTTTATTAGACTTTTAGGGTGGAATTTAGTTTGACTTTACAATCTTCTTTCTTTT